AAGCTCCTAACACAACAACTTAAAGGTGTCCAAGCTCCTAACACAACAACTTAAAGATGTCCAAGCTCCTAACACAACAACTTAAAGATGTCCAAGCTCCTAACACAACAACTTAAAGATGTCCAAGCTCCTAACACAACAACTTAAAGGTGTCCAAGCTCTAACACAACAACTTAAAGATGTCCAAGCTCCTAACACAACAACTTAAAGATGTCCAAGCTCCTAACACAACAACTTAAAGATGTCCAAGCTCCTAACACAACAACTTAAAGATGTCCAAGCTCCTAACACAACAACTTAAAGATGCCCAAGCTCCTAACACAACAACTTAAAGATGCCCAAGCTCATAACACAACAACTTAAAGGTGTCCAAGCTCCTAACACAACAACTTAAAGATGTCCAAGCTCCTAACACAACAACTTAAAGATGTCCAAGCTCCTAACACAACAACTTAAAGATGTCCAAGCTCCTAACACAACAACTTAAAGGTGTCCAAGCTCTAACACAACAACTTAAAGATGTCCAAGCTCCTAACACAACAACTTAAAGGTGTCCAAGCTCTAACACAACAACTTAAAGATGCCCAAGCTCCTAACACAACAACTTAAAGATGTCCAAGCTCCTAACACAACAACTTAAAGATGTCCAAGCTCCTAACACAACAACTTAAAGATGCCCAAGCTCCTAACACAACAACTTAAAGATGCCCAAGCTCCTAACACAACAACTTAAAGGTGTCCAAGCTCCTAACACAACAACTTAAAGATGTCCAAGCTCCTAACACAACAACTTAAAGATGTCCAAGCTCCTAACACAACAACTTAAAGGTGTCCAAGCTCTAACACAACAACTTAAAGATGTCCAAGCTCCTAACACAACAACTTAAAGGTGTCCAAGCTCTAACACAACAACTTAAAGATGCCCAAGCTCCTAACACAACAACTTAAAGATGTCCAAGCTCCTAACACAACAACTTAAAGATGTCCAAGCTCCTAACACAACAACTTAAAGATGCCCAAGCTCCTAACACAACAACTTAAAGATGTCCAAGCTCCTAACACAACAACTTAAAGATGCCCAAGCTCCTAACACAACAACTTAAAGATGTCCAAGCTCCTAACACAACAACTTAAAGATGCCCAAGCTCCTAACACAACAACTTAAAGGTGCCCAAGCTCCTAACACAACAACTTAAAGATGCCCAAGCTCCTAACACAACAACTTAAAGATGTCCAAGCTCCTAACACAACAACTTAAAGGTGTCCAAGCTCCTAACACAACAACTTAAAGATGCCCAAGCTCCTAACACAACAACTTAAAGATGTCCAAGCTCCTAACACAACAACTTAAAGGTGTCCAAGCTCCTAACACAACAACTTAAAGATGTCCAAGCTCTAACACAACAACTTAAAGGTGTCCAAGCTCCTAACACAACAACTTAAAGGTGTCCAAGCTCCTAACACAACAACTTAAAGGTGTCCAAGCTCCTAACACAACAACTTAAAGATGCCCAAGCTCCTAACACAACAACTTAAAGGTGTCCAAGCTCTAACACAACAACTTAAAGATGTCCAAGCTCCTAACACAACAACTTAAAGGTGTCCAAGCTCCTAACACAACAACTTAAAGATGTCCAAGCTCCTAACACAACAACTTAAAGGTGCCCAAGCTCCTAACACAACAACTTAAAGATGCCTAAGCTCCTAACACAACAACTTAAAGATGCCTAAGCTCCTAACACAACAACTTAAAGATGCCTAAGCTCCTAACACAACAACTTAAAGATGCCTAAGCTCCTAACACAACAACTTAAAGATGCCTAAGCTCCTAACACAACAACTTAAAGATGCCTAAGCTCCTAACACAACAACTTAAAGATGCCCAAGCTCCTAACACAACAACTTAAAGATGTCCAAGCTCCTAACACAACAACTTAAAGGTGTCCAAGCTCCTAACACAACAACTTAAAGGTGTCCAAGCTCCTAACACAACAACTTAAAGATGCCTAAGCTCCTAACACAACAACTTAAAGATGCCTAAGCTCCTAACACAACAACTTAAAGGTGTCCAAGCTCCTAACACAACAACTTAAAGATGTCCAAGCTCCTAACACAACAACTTAAAGGTGCCCAAGCTCCTAACACAACAACTTAAAGATGCCCAAGCTCCTAACACAACAACTTAAAGATGTCCAAGCTCCTAACACAACAACTTAAAGGTGTCCAAGCTCCTAACACAACAACTTAAAGGTGTCCAAGCTCTAACACAACAACTTAAAGGTGCCCAAGCTCCTAACACAACAACTTAAAGGTGTCCAAGCTCCTAACTTAAAGACAACAACTTAAAGATGCCTAAGCTCCTAACACAACAACGTGTCCAAGCTCCTAACACAACAACTTAAAGGTGTCCAAGCTCCTAACACAACAACTTAAAGGTGTCCAAGCTCCTAACACAACAACTTAAAGGTGTCCAAGCTCTAACACAACAACTTAAAGGTGTCCAAGCTCTAACACAACAACTTAAAGGTGCCCAAGCTCTAACACAACAACTTAAAGGTGTCCAAGCTCCTAACACAACAACTTAAAGATGTCCAAGCTCCTAACACAACAACTTAAAGGTGTCCAAGCTCCTAACACAACAACTTAAAGGTGTCCAAGCTCTAACACAACAACTTAAAGGTGCCCAAGCTCTAACACAACAACTTAAAGGTGCCCAAGCTCCTAACACAACAACTTAAAGGTGTCCAAGCTCCTAACACAACAACTTAAAGATGCCTAAGCTCCTAACACAACAACGTGTCCAAGCTCCTAACACAACAACTTAAAGGTGTCCAAGCTCCTAACACAACAACTTAAAGGTGTCCAAGCTCCTAACACAACAACTTAAAGGTGTCCAAGCTCCTAACACAACAACTTAAAGGTGTCCAAGCTCCTAACACAACAACTTAAAGATGCCCAAGCTCCTAACACAACAACTTAAAGGTGCCCAAGCTCCTAACACAACAACTTAAAGATGTCCAAGCTCCTAACACAACAACTTAAAGGTGCCTAAGCTCTAACACAACAACTTAAAGGTGCCCAAGCTCCTAACACAACAACTTAAAGATGTCCAAGCTCCTAACACAACAACTTAAAGATGCCCAAGCTCCTAACACAACAACTTAAAGGTGCCCAAGCTCCTAACACAACAACGTGTCCAAGCTCCTAACACAACAACTTAAAGGTGTCCAAGCTCCTAACACAACAACTTAAAGGTGTCCAAGCTCCTAACACAACAACTTAAAGGTGTCCAAGCTCTAACACAACAACTTAAAGGTGTCCAAGCTCTAACACAACAACTTAAAGGTGCCCAAGCTCTAACACAACAACTTAAAGGTGCCCAAGCTCCTAACACAACAACTTAAAGGTGCCTAAGCTCCTAACACAACAACGTGTCCAAGCTCCTAACACAACAACTTAAAGATGCCCAAGCTCCTAACACAACAACTTAAAGATGCCCAAGCTCCTAACACAACAACTTAAAGGTGTCCAAGCTCTAACACAACAACTTAAAGATGCCTAAGCTCCTAACACAACAACTTAAAGATGCCTAAGCTCCTAACACAACAACTTAAAGATGCCTAAGCTCCTAACACAACAACTTAAAGATGTCCAAGCTCTAACACAACAACTTAAAGATGCCTAAGCTCCTAACACAACAACTTAAAGATGCCTAAGCTCCTAACACAACAACTTAAAGGTGTCCAAGCTCTAACACAACAACTTAAAGGTGTCCAAGCTCCTAACACAACAACTTAAAGGTGTCCAAGCTCCTAACACAACAACTTAAAGGTGTCCAAGCTCTAACACAACAACTAAAAGGTGCCCAAGCTCCTAACACAATAACTTAAAGATGCCTAAGCTCCTAACACAACAACTTAAAGGTGTCCAAGCTCTAACACAACAACTTAAAGGTGTCCAAGCTCCTAACACAACAACTTAAAGGTGTCCAAGCTCCTAACACAACAACTTAAAGGTGTCCAAGCTCTAACACAACAACTTAAAGGTGCCCAAGCTCCTAACACAATAACTTAAAGGTGTCCAAGCTCCTAACACAACAACTTAAAGGTGTCCAAGCTCCTAACACAACAACTTAAAGGTGTCCAAGCTCTAACACAACAACTTAAAGGTGCCCAAGCTCCTAACACAACAACTTAAAGGTGTCCAAGCTCCTAACACAACAACTTAAAGGTGTCCAAGCTCCTAACACAACAACTTAAAGGTGTCCAAGCTCTAACACAACAACTTAAAGGTGCCCAAGCTCCTAACACAATAACTTAAAGGTGTCCAAGCTCCTAACACAACAACTTAAAGGTGTCCAAGCTCCTAACACAACAACTTAAAGATGCCCAAGCTCATAACACAACAACTTAAAGATGCCCAAGCTCCTAACACAACAACTTAAAGGTGTCCAAGCTCCTAACACAACAACTTAAAGATGCCCAAGCTCCTAACACAACAACTTAAAGGTGTCCAAGCTCCTAACACAACAACTTAAAGATGCCCAAGCTCATAACACAACAACTTAAAGATGCCCAAGCTCCTAACACAACAACTTAAAGATGCCCAAGCTCCTAACACAACAACTTAAAGATGCCCAAGCTCCTAACACAACAACTTAAAGATGCCCAAGCTCCTAACACAACAACTTAAAGGTGTCCAAGCTCCTAACACAACAACTTAAAGATGCCCAAGCTCTAACACAACAACTTAAAGGTGTCCAAGCTTCAAGAGCAATTCGTGGTATTAAGTCTAAAACGGGCACTATTCTAACCACTGCTGCTGAGATAAACCATCGTTTCAGTCAATTCTATGCTGAGCTTTACTCTTCAAAAAACAATATTCCACAAACCAATCTAAATTATTTCTTTGACACTATATCGTTTCTCAAATTGAGCGATGCTGCCACAAAATATCTTGATTCAGAGTTTACTCTGCAAGAAGTCATTAATGTCATAAAGTCATTTCCATCGAGTGAGGCTGCTGGGCCCGATGGGTACTGAGCCCGATGGGTACTGGGCCCGATGGTACTGGGCCCGATGGGTCCTGGGCCCGATGGGTCCTGGGCCCGATGGGTCCTGAGCCCGATGGGTACTGAGCCCGATGGGTCCTGAGCCCGATGGGTACTGAGCCCGATGGGTACTGAGCCCGATGGGTCCTGGGCCCGATGGGTCCTGGGCCCGATGGGTACTGGGCCCGATGGGTCCTGGGCCCGATGGGTCCTGAGCCCGATGGGTACTGGGCCCGATGGGTCCTGAGCCCGATGGGTCCTGGGCCCGATGGGTACTGAGCCCGATGGGTCCTGGGCCCGATGGGTACTGGGCCCGATGGGTCCTGGGCCCAATGGGTCCTGGGCCCGATGGGTCCTGAGCCCGATGGGTCCTGAGCCCGATGGGTCCTGAGCCCGATGGGTCCTGAGCCCGATGGGTCCTGGGCCCGATGGGTCCTGGGCCCGATGGGTCCTGGGCCCGATGGGTACTGAGCCCGATGGGTCCTGGGCCCGATGGGTCCTGGGCCCGATGGGTACTGGGCCCGATGGGTCCTGGGCCCGATGGGTCCTGAGCCCGATGGGTCCTGGGCCCGATGGGTCCTGAGCCCGATGGGTACTGGGCCCGATGGGTCCTGAGCCCGATGGGTACTGGGCCCAGTAGCTCGGGCTCCTTCCCCCCCAGTGAGGTGACGTTCCACGTCCCAAGAGCCAGATGTTGTGTGTGCGGACTGGGTCGCCGAGGTCTCCGCCTTCGACTGCTGCCCAGTCCTCTCAGCACCGCGCCACCACGGACCCCTCTGCAGGTGGTGGGCCCACAGGAGGGACTGCCCACGTCATGCCTTCGGGCTGAGCCCGGCCGGGCCCCGTGGGCCAAGGCCCGGCCACCAGGCGCTCGCATACGAGCCCCGACCCCAGGCCTGGCTCCAGGGTGGGGCCCCGGCTGCGCCATGCCGGGCGACGTCACTGGTCCAAAACAAATATTTAAATAGAATTTCACAGCATTTCTTTACAAATTAAAACAAAACATTGAAAGTTGGAAAATTCTTCCCTTATCCAATGATTGGACGCATCAAGTCAATTAGAATGATCTCTCTTCCCAAATGTTTGTACCTTTGTCAAAATCTACCCATTTACCTCACTGCTGCTTTAAAGACTTGGACTCAATTATTCTGTCCTATGTTTGGAATGGTAAAAATGGTATAATTTCAAAAGCACCCTTACAGAAGTCCAGGTCAGAGGGAGGGCTGGGCCTGCCTGTGTTTAAACATTACTTTGGCAGCCGATGTCAGGGCGTTGATGTTCTGGCACCAAGGATCCCTGGATCCTTTGTGGCTCAAAATGGAGGCCAACTCTGTGAATAAATCTTCATTGCCAGCTCTGTTATTTTCCAAATTTGAAAAGCCAGAGTCCTATAAAAAATGATGCTTTGTGGTTAAACAGTCAGTAAGAATCTTAAACCAGGTCAGGAGTTTTCTAAAGCTTCCAAATACATGGGTGTTTGAACCATTGTTTTCTGCCTCCCAGTCATGACATTTCATATCATGGTCTCAGTTCATAATCTGTACATTGATGCATCATTCAATCAACTGAAAGCAAAGTATGATCTGTCAAACTCTCATTTCTTTCGGTATTTGCAGGTTAGGCATTACACCCAAACCAAAATTCAAAATGTTCAAACTCTACCCTTGGAACATGAAGTTTATGATATTTGTACAAGCCCTCCTTTCTCCAAGCGGCTTATCTCAAGAACTGTACACCTATTTGATGACTGTATGACTGTGAAGGGATGCTTGGAGAGAAGAGCTGGGTCCATGTGGGACTCCTGTTTGTCTAATATTCACTCAATTAATCCAATTTAAGATCGTCCATCGCCTACATCCTTCCAAAGTCAGATTACACAGAATATATCCATCAGTTTCCCAGTGTGTGACAGATGTAACGTCTCAGGGTTAGGGTTAGGGTCCAGCCTCAGCCTGGACGGGTTATCTTTGGCTGCTCACAAACAAAAAGGACAATTCCATCTTTAATGCAGCAGCCGTTGGATCTGAGAAACTGATACTGAAAGTGTGGAAGTGTCCCACTGCCCCTTGCTTTCAGTTATGGGTCGCTGATATGTTATCCATCATACAAATGGAAAAGGACATATTTCTCCGCTCTTGGAACACATTTTTAGCTCATTTTGAAAATGTTAAATTAAACTAATTGTGTTTCTGTATGAACAACATTTTCTCCTACCACTACCAAATATGACTGTAAAAAATGACCATAGCTGCATCTGAGCACTGTTTGTTTTTATTTGAAAAATGTAAATAAAATATATATAAAAAAATAAAAAAAACATATAAAGCCATAAATGGCTTGGCTCCTTCTTATCTCCAAGACACGTTAGTGTCGTATCAACCAGGTCGAGCGTTGCGCTCACAAAACGCCAGACGTCTGGTGGTCCCTAAGGTCTCAAAGGTCACTGTTGGTGGCAGAGCATTTAGCTACCAAGCTCCTTTACTGTGGAATCAGCTTCATTTATGTTAAGGAAGCAGATACGGTCTCCACATTCAAGGCCAGGCTTAAAGCACTCTACTTTAATTTAGCATCAGGTCTGGTTTGGTCTGGTCTGGTCCGGTCTTGGAGTCTGCGTATGTTGGACCTGGTCCGCTGCATCTTCAACCCTACGTTCTAGGCTAGGTTTAAAACAGTCCTCTTTAGTTTAGCATATGGCTAGGAAGGTAAGACTCAGGGAAGGCTAAACTCTTCAGACTGTCAGTCAAGCTGCATAGGGCGCCCCCTGCTGGAGAAGTATGGTAACTTGAGCACTATCCTCTCCTCCTTCCTATTTTATCTGTTTAGCATTTTTAGGATTTTGACTGTAGTTTGTTCATTGCTATTCACCCGTTGTCCCATTGTCTGTTTCATGGTACGATGACGGGACCTCTGAGCCTGGCCTCCTCCATCTACACCTGCGGACTGCCCCGCCCGACCCGCCTGGGAGTGCTTCAGTCCTGCACCGGACCTGTCCACGTTCAGCGGCCACTGGTCCACGTCCTGTAGCTAGCTTAGGTTCTGTAGCTAGCTTAGGTCCTAGATCATTAGCCTGTCCGTCCGGAGGAGCGGATCCCTTTCTCATATGGGTCTCCCTCCCTGTGGGTCTCCCTCCCTGTGGGTCTCCCTCCCTGTGGGTCTCCCTCCCTGTGGGTCTCCCTCCCTGTGGGTCTCCCTCCCTGTGGGTCTCCCTCCCTGTGGGTCTCCCTCCCTGTGGGTTTCCCTCCCTGTGGGTCTCCCTCTCTGTGGGTCTCCCTCCCTGTGGGTCTCCCTCCCTGTGGGTTTCCCTAGTTCTCCCCAAGGTTTCTCACTTTTTCCCACTGGGTTTTTTAAGAGTTGTTCCTTGTGGATGCAGGAGGGTCTTGTTGGACAGTTAGTGTCCAACAGAAAGGATTGGTGATGATCAGGACACTTTAGCATTCTACAACATGTATGGACATTTTCTTCTGTGTGTGCTTTATATTCTTCATGTGTTTTAACTGTTGATTCTCTGACCTGTGTTGGTGATTTCAATGGTTTTGTTAAGTCTCTGAGATGACTTCTGTTGGGACCTAGGGCTATATAAGAATACATTGTATTGTATTGTAAGATCAAGGCTGTGATGTCACAGACAGAGCACCTCCTGTGGACTCACCTCCTGCAGGAGAAGCAGGAGGAGCAGTGAGGAGCAGGAGGAGCAGGAGGATCAGTGAGGAGCAGACGGCGCACTGCCCTTCCCCTCTCCTCCGCTCTGTTGCGCATGCGTACTGGCCCATGAATGCACTGGTTTAGAGAATGTGCGCATGCGCATTGCTTCTCGCAGAGCATCTGACAAAGAGTGAGCTGCCCGTGCCTGCTGGTGTTTCGCCGTTTGAACCGGAGCCTTTGGAAGAGCGGCAGACATGAGCTGCAACTGGGGCACGGAGCTGTGGGTACGTGCGCGTGGGTGTGCATGTGTGTGCGCGTGAGGGTGGACCGCCTAGTGCCAAGGTAACGGGTGCCTGAGCTCCAGACAGACCGGGTCCGTGTGCGCGTGCGTGTGTCTGTGCTGCACGTGTCCCGCGGTAATGTTTCACCTGCAGCCTGTGTCCGCTGCACGCATGCGCATTGGGGACTCTAAAGCCGCTCCATCATGAGTCTGGTTCAGTCTTGGTTCAGTCCTAGTTCAGTCCTGGTCCAGTCCTGGTCCAGTCCTGGTCCAGGTCCAGCCCTGGTCCAGGTCCAGGTCCAGCCCTGGTCCAGATCCAGGTCCAGTCCTGGTCCAGGTTCAGTCCTGGTCCAGGTCCAGGTCCAGTCCTGGTTCAGTCTTGGTCCAGCCCTGGTCCAGGTTCAGTCATGGTTCAGTCTTGGTCCAGGTCCAGCCCTGGTCCAGGTCCAGTCCTGGTCCAGGTTCAGTCCTGGTTCAGTCTTGGTCCAGCCCTGGTCCAGGTCCAGCCCTGGTCCAGTCCTGGTCCAGTCCTGGTCCTGGTCCAGTCCTGGTTCAGTCCTGGTTCAGTCTTGGTCCAGTCCTGGTCCAGTCCTGGTCCAGTCCTGGTCCTGGTCCTGGTCCAGTCCTGGGTTATGGAGATGTAGTGATGCTGTATCCGTCCCACTGTGGGGACAGCTTTTCTTTATAATTATAATAATCATTAGTTTTAGAAAGCACTTATTTTCATGTTTTCAGACTCAAAGTCTCTTCACATCATCATCCAACCACTGTGGTGATAAACGACTACTGTAGCCACAGCTGCCCTGGGGCACACTGGAAGAAGTAAGGGTTATGGTCACACACACCAGACTCATTCTAATGTGGGGGAAGTGTCTTGCCCAAGGACACAGCCACAGTTTGGTACTTTAGAGCCGCAGCCGCCCCACTGTGGTCTCCCATCACAGCACTAACCAGGCCCTGACCAGAGGTTTGACTGGACCACTTGCAGGGATGGCCACAATACTTGTTTTATATCCTGGTCTATCCTAGTTTAGCCTGGTCTAGCCTGGTCTATCCTAGTTTAGCCTGGTCTAGCCTGGTCTAGTCTAGTTTAGCCTGGTCTAGCCTGGTCTAGCCTAGTTTAGCCTAGTCTAGCCTGGTCTAGTCTAGTTTAGCCTAGTCTAGCCTGGTCTAGCCTAGTTTAGCCTAGTCTAGCCTGGTCTAGCCTGGCTTTATCCATTGCTACACTCCGGTCCATCATCATTTCCTGCATGTGTTTGCGACATAGGCGTGACTCTGTCCGTTAATATATACAGTCTATCTCTGTCCGTTAATATATACAGTCTATCTCTGTCCGTTAATATATACAGTCTATCTCTGTCTGTTAATATATACAGTCTATCTCTGTCCGTTAATATATACAGTCTATCTCTGTCTGTTAATATATACAGTCTATCTCTGTCCGTTAATATATACAGTCTATCTCTGTCTGTTAATATATTACAGTCTATCTCTGTCTGTTAATATATACAGTCTATCTCTGTCTGTTAATATATACAGTCTATCTCTGTCTGTTAATATATACAGTCTATCTCTGTCTGTTAATATATACAGTCTATCTCTGTCTGTTAATATATACAGTCTATCTCTGTCTGTTAATATATACAGTCTATCTCTGTCCGTTAATATATACAGTCTATCTCTGTCTGTTAATATATACAGTCTATCTCTGTCTGTTAATATATACAGTCTATCTCTGTCTGTTAATATATACAGTCTATCTCTGTCTGTTAATATATACAGTCTATCTCTGTCTGTTAATATATACAGTCTATCTCTGTCCGTTAATATATACAGTCTATCTCTGTCCGTTAATATATACAGTCTATCTCTGTCCGTTAATATATACAGTCTATCTCTGTCCGTTAATATATACAGTCTATCTCTGTCCGTTAATATATACAGTCTATCTCTGTCTGTTAATATATACAGTCTATCTCTGTCTGTTAATATATACAGTCTATCTCTGTCTGTTAATATATACAGTCTATCTCTGTCCGTTAATATATACAGTCTATCTCTGTCTGTTAATATATACAGTCTATCTCTGTCTGTTAATATATACAGTCTATCTCTGTCTGTTAATATATACAGTCTATCTCTGTCTGTTAATATATACAGTCTATCTCTGTCTGTTAATATATACAGTCTATCTCTGTCTGTTAATATATACAGTCTATCTCTGTCCGTTAATATATACAGTCTATCTCTGTCCGTTAATATATACAGTCTATCTCTGTCTGTTAATATATACAGTCTATCTCTGTCTGTTAATATATACAGTCTATCTCTGTCTGTTAATATATACAGTCTATCTCTGTCTGTTAATATATACAGTCTATCTCTGTCTGTTAATATATACAGTCTATCTCTGTCTGTTAATATATACAGTCTATCTCTGTCTGTTAATATATACAGTCTATCTCTGTCTGTTAATATATACAGTCTATCTCTGTCTGTTAATATATACAGTCTATCTCTGTCTGTTAATATATACAGTCTATCTCTGTCTGTTAATATATACAGTCTATCTCTGTCTGTTAATATATACAGTCTATCTCTGTCTGTTAATATATACAGTCTATCTCTGTCTGTTAATATATACAGTCTATCTCTGTCTGTTAATATATACAGTCTATCTCTGTCTGTTAATATATACAGTCTATCTCTGTCTGTTAATATATACAGTCTATCTCTGTCTGTTAATATTATACAGTCTATCTCTGTCCTGTTAATATATACAGTCTATCTCTGTCTGTTAATATATACAGTCTATCTCTGTCTGTTAATATATACAGTCTATCTCTGTCTGTTAATATATACAGTCTATCTCTGTCTGTTAATATATACAGTCTATCTCTGTCCGTTAATATATACAGTCTATCTCTGTCTGTTAATATATACAGTCTATCTCTGTCTGTTAATATATACAGTCTATCTCAAAAGTCTTGAGTGGGGCTTGAACCCACAACCTTCTGGTTCAAAGGCCAACGCTCTACCAACTGAGCTACTGCCGCCTGTGACAGACAGAGTCAGGCCTATCTGGACCGTTCTAACTAATGAGCCAAGATTGTGCTCTACTGGAGCTATCCAAAATGGCCGTGAGTGGCCCCGCCCACAAGAACATTGTGAAAAAACACATCTGTGCATGAGTCAGCCGGAGCAGCTCCATTCATTTGAACAGAGACTTCTAAAGTCCACAGCGACTAAACTAGACTGGTCCAGAACACTCAGCATTGACACACATGTGGAACGGAGCTTTGGACCATCCTGTAAAGACGTTTTCCAGAGGTAAGAAGATGCTATATGTTAGCATTGGCTAATTCTTATTCCTGGTCCACCCCCACAGGCCCGGGGTGGTACTGCAGCATGTCAGGGTCCACCCCCACAGGCCTGGGGTGGTACTGCAGCATGTCAGGGTCCACCCCCACAGGCCCGGGGTGGTACTGCAGCATGTCAGGGTCCACCCCCACAGGCCCGGGGTGGTACTGCAGCATGTCAGGGTCCACCCCCACAGGCCCGGGGTGGTACTGCAGCATGTCAGCACCACCCCCACAGGCCCGGGGTGGTACTGCAGCATGTCAGGGTCCACCCCCACAGGCCCGGGGTGGTACTGCAGCATGTCAGCACCACCCCCACAGGCCCGGGGTGGTACTGCAGCATGTCAGGGTCCACCCCCACAGGCCCGGGGTGGTACTGCAGCATGTCAGGGTCCACCCCCACAGGCCCGGGGTGGTACTGCAGCATGTCAGGGTCCACCCCCACAGGCCTGGGGTGGTACTGCAGCATGTCAGGGTCCACCCCCACAGGCCCGGGGTGGTACTGCAGCATGTCAGGGTCCACCCCCACAGGCCCGGGGTGGTACTGCAGCATGTCAGGGTCCACCCCCACAGGCCTGGGGTGGTACTGCAGCATGTCAGGGTCCACCCCCACAGGCCCGGGGTGGTACTGCAGCATGTCAGGGTCCACCCCCACAGGCCTGGGGTGGTACTGCAGCATGTCAGGGTCCACCCCCACAGGCCCGGGGTGGTACTGCAGCATGTCAGGGTCCACCCCCACAGGCCCGGGGTGGTACTGCAGCATGTCAGGGTCCACCCCGGGCGGCACGGTGGCTGAGTGGATAGCACTCTCGCCTCTCAGCAAGAAGGTCCTGGGTTCGAATCCCGGTCGGACCAGGGCCTTTCTGAGTGGAGTTTGCATGTTCTCCCCGTGTCTGTGTAGGTTTCCTCCGAGTACTCCGGTTTCCCCTACCACTAAAAATATGTCCAATAGTTCTAGCATGTGCCTCCTGTACTGGCCCCGCTCCCATCTCTATGTGGAGTGAGAGACAAATGCCCAAAAATTAACAATTGTAAACCGCTTTGAGACTCAGATCTGCAGTGAAAAGGCGGTATATAAATAAAAGATTACTTACTTACTTACTTACCCCCACAGGCCCGGGGTGGTACTGCAGCATGTCAGGGTCCACCCCCACAGGCCCGGGGTGGTACTGCAGCATGTCAGCGCACGTCCTTTTGGACACTTTTGAGCCGGGACCCGCCCCCACTGGTCTCTAGTTTCATGTATTTGTGATGTCACATGTTTAGATCAACCCCCCTCCCTCAACCAATCAGCTCTCAGCCCAAAGAGGCAAATACTGACTCACAGGGACCTGCAGATACTGACTCACAGGGACATACTGACTCACAGGGACCTGTAGATACTGACTCACAGGGACCTGTAGATACTGACTCACAGGGACCTGTAGATACTGACTCACAGGGACCTGCAGATACTGACTCACAGGGACATACTGACTCACAGGGACCTGTAGATACTGACTCACAGGGAACTGTAGATACTGACTCACAGGGACCTGTAGATACTGACTCACAGGGACCTGTAGATACTGACTCACAGGGACCTGTAGATACTGACTCACAGGGACCTGCAGATACTGACTCACAGGGACATACTGACTCACAGGGAACTGTAGATACTGACTCACAGGGAACTGTAGATACTGACTCACAGGGACCTGTAGATACTGACTCACAGGGACCTGTAGATACTGACTCACAGGGACATACTGACTCACAGGGACCTGTAGATACTGACTCACAGGGACCTGTAGATACTGACTCACAGGGACCTGTAGATACTGACTCACAGGGACCTGTAGATACTGACTCACAGGGACATATTGACTCACAGGGACCTGCAGATACTGACTCACAGGGACATACTGACTCACAGGGACCTGTAGATACTGACTCACAGGGACATATTGACTCACAGGGACCTGCAGATACTGACTCACAGGGACATACTGACTCACAGGGACCTGTAGATACTGACTCACAGGGACATATTGACTCACAGGGACCTGCAGATACTGACTCACAGGGACATACTGACTCACAGGGACCTGTAGATACTGACTCACAGGGACATATTGACTCACAGGGACCTGCAGATACTGACTCACAGGGACATACTGACTCACAGGGACCTGTTACCTCTGCTGCGGTCGCCCTCCGTCCACAGACCTGCAACAACAGTTAAATTAAATAGAACAGACCAGAGAGAGAGAGACCAGAGAGAGAGACCAGAGAGAGACCAGAGAGAGACCAGAGAGAGACCAGAGAGAGACCAGAGAGAGACCAGAGAGAGACCATAGAGAGTCCAGAGAGAGACCAGAGAGAGACCAGAGAGAGATTAGAGAGAGACCAGAGAGAGACCAGAAGGAGACCGGAGAGACCAGAGAGAGAGACCAGAGAGAGACCAGAGAGAGACCAGAGAGAGAGACCAGAGAGAGGGACCAGAGAGAGAGACCAGAAGGAGACCGGAGAGACCAGAGAGAGACCAGAGAGAGACCAGAGAGAGAGACCAGAGAGAGAGACCAGAGAGAGAGACCAGAAGGAGACCAGAGAGAGACCAGAGAGAGAGACCAGAGAGAGGGACCAGAGAGAGACCAGAAGGAGACCGGAGAGACCAGAGAGAGAGACCAGAGAGAGAGACCAGAGAGAGACCAGAGAGAGACCAGAGAGAGACCAGAGAGAGACCAGAGAGAGACCAGAGAGAGACCAGAGAGAGACCAGAGAGAGACCAGAGAGAGACCAGAGAGAGACCAGAGAGAGACCAGAGAGAGACCAGAGAGAGAGACCAGAGAGAGAGACCAGAGAGAGACCAGAGAGAGACCAGAGAGAGACCAGAGAGAGACCAGAGAGAGACCAGAGAGAGACCAGAGAGAGAGACCAGAGAGAGACCAGAGAGAGAGACCAGAGAGAGAGACCAGAGAGAGACCAGAGAGAGACCAGAGAGAGAGACCAGAGAGAGAGACCAGAGAGAGACCAGAAGGAGACCGGAGAGACCAGAGAGAGACCAGAGAGAGACCAGAGAGAGAGACCAGAGAGAGACCAGAGAGAGAGACCAGAGAGAGAGATCAGAGAGAGAGACCAGAGAGAGAGACCAGAGAGAGAGACCAGAGAGAGACTGGAGAGACCAGAGAGAGAGACCAGAGAGAGACTGGAGAGACCAGAGAGACAGACCAGAGAGAGACCAGAGCGAGACCAGAGAGAGACCAGAGAGAGACCAGAGAGAGACCAGAGAGAGACCAGAGAGAGACTAGAGAGAGAGACCAGAAGGAGACCAGAGAGAGACCAGAGAGAGAGACCAGAGAGAGACCAGAGAGAGACCAGAGAGAGACCAGAGAGAGACTAGAGAGAGAGACCAGAGAGAGAGAGAGAGAGACCAGAGAGAGAGACCAGAGAGAGAGAGACCAGAGAGAGAGACCAGAGAGAGAGAGAGAGACCTCTGTCAGGGCCGTCCTCTGTGCTCTCGCTCTTCATCCTCTGGTTCAGGATGTAGAGCATTTCTCCTCCGAGGTTTATGAAGACGAGCGGCAGAGTCTGCATCGACATCTTCTTGGGTTAGCTAACGGTCTAACGATCTAACGGTCTATTGGTCTAACGATCTAACGGTCTATTGGTCTAACGGTCTAATGGTCTAACGGTCTAATGGTCTATTGGTCTAACGGTCTAATGGTCTAACGGTCTAATGGTCTATTGGTCTAACGGTCTAATGGTCTAACGGTCTAACGGTCTAATGGTCTAACGATCTAACGGTCTAATGGTCTAACGGTCTAATGGTCTAACGGTCTAACAGTCTAACGATCTATTGGTCTAACGGTCTAACGATCTAATGGTCTAACAGTCTATTGGTCTAACGGTCTAATGGTCTAACGGTCTAATGGTCTAACGGTCTAATGGTCTAACGGTCTAACGGTCTAACGGTCTAACGATCTAACGGTCTAACGATCTAATGGTCTAACGGTCTAATGGTCTAACGGTCTATTGGTCTAACGGTCTAACGGTCTATTGGTCTAACGGTCTAACGGTCTAACGGTCTAATGGTCTAACGGTCTAACAGTCTATTGGTCTAACGGTCTAACGGTCTAACGGTCTATTGGTCTAACGGTCTAACGGTCTATTGGTCTAACGATCTAACGGTCTAACGATCTAATGGTCTAACGGTCTAATGGTCTATTGGTCTAACGGTCTATTGGTCTAACGGTCTAACGGTCTATTGGTCTAACGGTCTAACGGTCTAACGGTCTATTGGTCTAACGGTCTAACAGTCTATTGGTCTAACGGTCTAACGGTCTATTGGTCTATTGGTCTATTGGTCTAACGGTCTATTGGTCTAACGGTCTAACGGTCTAACGGTCTAATGGTCTAACGGTCTATTGGTCTATTGGTCTATTGGTCTATTGGTCTAACGGTCCCTAACGGTCTAACTCTAACTATAACTATATATATAATATATTATAACTATAATACTCTAACCCGTCCTACAGTCTCAGTCCTACAGTAGTACAGTCTCAGTCCTACAGTCTCAGTCCTACAGTAGTACAGTCTCAGTCCTACAGTCTCAGTCCTACAGTCTCAGTCCTACAGTCTCAGTCCTACAGTCTCAGTCCTACAGTCTCAGTCCTACAGTAGTACAGTCTCAGTCCTACAGTCTCAGTCCTACAGTAGTACAGTAGTACAGTCTCAGTCCTACAGTCTCAGTCCTACAGTAGTACAGTAGTACAGTCTCAGTCCTACAGTCTCAGTCCTACAGTAGTACAGTCTCAGTCCTACAGTCTCAGTCCTACAGTCTCAGTCCTACAGTAGTACAGTCTCAGTCCTACAGTCTCAGTCCTACAGTCTCAGTTCTACAGTAGTACAGTCTCAGTCCTACAGTCTCAGTTCTACAGTCCTACAGTAGTACAGTCTCAGTCCTAGAGTAGTACAGTCTCAGTCCTACAGTCCTACAGTCTCAGTTCTACAGTCCTACAGTAGTACAGTCTCAGTCCTACAGTCTCAGTCCTACAGTCTCAGTCCTACAGTAGTACAGTCTCAGTCCTACAGTCTCAGTCCTACAGTCTCAGTCCTACAGTAGTACAGTCTCAGTCCTACAGTCTCAGTCCTACAGTAGTACAGTCTCAGTCCTACAGTCTCAGTCCTACAGTCTCAGTCCTACAGTAGTACAGTCTCAGTCCTACAGTAGTACAGTCTCAGTCCTACAGTCTCAGTCCTACAGTCTCAGTCCTACAGTCTCAGTTCTACAGTAGTACAGTCTCAGTCCTACAGTAGTACAGTCTCAGTCCTACAGTCTCAGTCCTACAGTCTCAGTCCTACAGTCTCAGTCCTACAGTCTCAGTTCTACAGTCTCAGTCCTACAGTCTCAGTTCTACAGTCTCAGTTCTACAGTCTCTGTCTCAGACGAAAGGAGATGAACCTAAAAACAGAGGAAGCTTGTTATTCTTTTTTCCAAATGTTTTTATTGAAGTTTTCATTTTTAAGACAAAACATAAAATACACTTTTACAACAAACTCGTTTTCTACAAATCAGTTTTTTCTCTCTGGTCTCTCTCTGGTCTCTCTCTGGTCTCTCTCTGGTCTCTCTCTGGTCTCTCTCTCTGGTCTCTCTCTGGTCTCTCTCTGGTCTCTCTCTGGTCTCTCTCTGGTCTCTCTCTCTGGTCTCTCTCTGGTCTCTCTCTGGTCTCTCTCTGGTCTCTCTCTGGTCTCTCTCTCTGGTCTCTCTCTGGTCTCTCTCTGGTCTCTCTCTGGTCTCTCTCTGGTCTCTCTCTGGTCTTTCTCTGGTCTCTCTCTGGTCTCTCTCTGGTCTCCCTCTCTGGTCTCTCTCTGGTCTCTCTCTGGTCTCTCTCTGGTCTCTCTGGTCTCTCTCTGGTCTCTCTCTCTGGTCCCTCTCTCTGGTCTCTCTCTGGTCTCTCTCTCTGGTCTCTCTCTCTGGTCTCTCTCTGGTCTCTCTCTCTGGTCTCTCTCTCTGGTCTCTCTCTGGTCTCTCTCTGGTCTCTCTCTGGTCTCTCTCTGGTCTCTCTCTCTGGTCTCTCTCTCTGGTCTCTCTCTCTGGTCTCTCTCTCTGGTCTCTCTCTCTGGTCTCTCTCTCTGGTCTCTCTCTCTGGTCTCTCTCTGGTCTCTCTCTGGTCTCTCTCTCTGGTCTCTCTCTCTGGTCTCTCTCTCTGGTCTCTCTCTGGTCTCTCTCTCTGGTCTCTCTCTCTGGTCTCTCTCTCTGGTCTCTCTCTCTGGTCTCTCTCTCTGGTCTCTCTCTCTGGTCTCTCTCTCTGGTCTCTCTCTGGTCTCTCTCTCTGGTCTCTCTCTCTGGTCTCTCTCTGGTCTCTCTCTGGTCTCTCTCTCTGGTCTCTCTCTCTGGTCTCTCTCTGGTCTCTCTCTCTGGTCTCTCTCTGGTCTCTCTCTGGTCTCTCTCTGGTCTCTCTCTGGTCTCTCTCTCTGGTCTCTCTCTCTGGTCTCTCTCTGGTCTCTCTCTGGTCTCTCTCTGGTCTCTCTCTGGTCTCTCTCTGGTCTCTCTCTCTGGTCTCTCTCTGGTCTCTCTCTGGTCTCTCTCTCTGGTCTCTCTCTGGTCTCTCTCTGGTCTCTCTCTGGTCTCTCTCTGGTCTCTCTCTCTGGTCTCTCTCTGGTCTCTCTCTGGTCTCTCTCTGGTCTCTCTCTGGTCTCTCTCTGGTCTCTCTCTCTGGTCTCTCTCTGGTCTCTCTCTGGTCTCTCTCTGGTCTCTCTCTGGTCTCTCTCTGGTCTCTCTCTCTGGTCTCTCTCTGGTCTCTCTCTGGTCTCTCTCTGGTCTCTCTCTGGTCTCTCTCTGGTCTCTCTCTCTGGTCTCTCTCTGGTCTCTCTCTGGTCTCTCTCTGGTCTCTCTCTGGTCTCTCTCTGGTCTCTCTCTGGTCTCTCTCTGGTCTCTCTCTGGTCTCTCTCTGGTCTCTCTCTGGTCTCTCTCTGGTCTCTCTCTGGTCTCTCTCTGGTCTCTCTCTGGTCTCTCTCTGGTCTCTCTCTGGTCTTTCTCTATGAAGTTAACTCTTTAGAATATTCCCACAAACCTTGTGGATGATCAGCAGGAGGAGCAGAGCAGGAGGAGCAGACTCAGGAGGAGCAGACTCAGGAGGGCAGCAGGAGGTTCTTCTTTCAGACTTAAGTCCTTCACAGATTTGGAGAGAGCAGATGGTCCGCCTGAAGCTGATTGGCCAAGATAAGCCTGAGCTCACGGCAGCCAATAGGATCACAGTGTGATGGAAAGCATGTGGCTAGTGCTAACACTGACTCATGGATCTATAATAATAACTGGACAGAGTGTTACTAGCTTACAGCTGTCCCACTCATGGCCACAGGGGGCGCTGTGGTACTGCAGACTAACTTCATGAGGGATAGGTTCTCTGTCAGGTTCTCTGTCAGGTTCTCTGTCAGGTTCTCTGTCAGGTTCTGATGTACGGGTGTCTAATGTACAGGTGTCTGATGTACAGGTGTCTAATGTACAGGTGTCTGATGTACAGGTGTCTAATGTACAGGTGTCTAATGTACAGGTGTCTAATGTACAGGTGTCTAATGTACAGGTGTCTAATGTACAGGTGTCTAATGTGCAGGTGTCTGATGTACAGGTGTCTAATGTACAGGTGTCTAATGTACAGGTGTCTAATGTACAGGTGTCTGATGTACAGGTGTCTAATGTACAGGTGTCTAATGTACAGGTGTCTAATGTACAGGTGTCTAATGTACAGGTGTCTAATGTACAGGTGTCTAATGTACAGGTGTCTGATGTACAGGTGTCTAATGTGCAGGTGTCTAATGTACAGGTGTCTAATGTACAGGTGTCTGATGTACAGGTGTCTAATGTACAGGTGTCTGATGTACAGGTGTCTAATGTACAGGTGTCTAATGTACAGGTGTCTAATGTACAGGTGTCTGATGTACAGGTGTCTAATGTGCAGGTGTCTGATGTACAGGTGTCTAATGTACAGGTGTCTGATGTACAGGTGTCTAATGTACAGGTGTCTAATGTACAGGTGTCTGATGTGCAGGTGTCTGATGTACAGGTGTCTGATGTACAGGTGTCTGATGTACAGGTGTCTAATGTACAGGTGTCTAATGTACAGGTGTCTAATGTACAGGTGTCTGATGTACAGGTGTCTAATGTACAGGTGTCTAATGTACAGGTGTCTAATGTACAGGTGTCTAATGTACAGGTGTCTAATGTACAGGTGTCTAATGTACAGGTGTCTAATGTACAGGTGTCTGATGTACAGGTGTCTAATGTGCAGGTGTCTAATGTACAGGTGTCTAATGTACAGGTGTCTGATGTACAGGTGTCTAATGTACAGGTGTCTAATGTACAGGTGTCTAAGGTACAGGTGTCTAATGTACAGGTGTCTAATGTACAGGTGTCTGATGTACAGGTGTCTGATGTACAGGTGTCTAATGTACAGGTGTCTAATGTACAGGTGTCTAAGGTACAGGTGTCTTAATGTACAGGTGTCTAATGTACAGGTGTCTAATGTACAGGTGTCTGATGTACAGGTGTCTAATGTGCAGGTGTCTAATGTACAGGTGTCTAATGTACAGGTGTCTGATGTACAGGTGTCTGATGTACAGGTGTCTGATGTACAGGTGTCTAATGTACAGGTGTCTAATGTGCAGGTGTCTGATGTACAGGTGTCTAATGTACAGGTGTCTAAGGTACAGGTGTCTAATGTACAGGTGTCTAATGTACAGGTGTCTAATGTACAGGTGTCTGATGTACAGGTGTCTAATGTGCAGGTGTCTAATGTACAGGTGTCTAATGTACAGGTGTCTGATGTACAGGTGTCTGATGTACAGGTGTCTGATGTACAGGTGTCTAATGTACAGGTGTCTAATGTGCAGGTGTCTGATGTACAGGTGTCTGATGTACAGGTGTCTGATGTACAGGTGTCTGATGTACAGGTGTCTAATGTGCAGGTGTCTGATGTACAGGTGTCTAATGTACAGGTGTCTAATGTACAGGTGTCTGATGTACAGGTGTCTAATGTACAGGTGTCTGATGTACAGGTGTCTAATGTACAGGTGTCTGATGTACAGGTGTCTGATGTACAGGTGTCTGATGTGCAGGTGTCTAATGTACAGGTGTCTGATGTACAGGTGTCTGATGTGCAGGTGTCTAATGTACAGGTGTCTGATGTGCAGGTGTCTGATGTACAGGTGTCTAATGTACAGGTGTCTGATGTGCAGGTGTCTAATGTACAGGTGTCTAATGTACAGGTGTCTGATGTACAGGTGTCTGATGTGCAGGTGTCTAATGTACAGGTGTCTAATGTACAGGTGTCTAATGTACAGGTGTCTAATGTGCAGGTGTCTGATGTACAGGTGTCTAATGTGCAGGTGTCTAATGTACAGGTGTCTGATGTACAGGTGTCTAATGTACAGGTGTCTGATGTACAGGTGTCTGATGTACAGGTGTCTGATGTACAGGTGTCTGATGTACAGGTGTCTGATGTGCAGGTGTCTGATGTGCAGGTGTCTAATGTACAGGTGTCTGATGTACAGGTGTCTAATGTACAGGTGTCTGATGTACAGGTGTCTAATGTACAGGTGTCTGATGTACAGGTGTCTAATGTACAGGTGTCTGATGTACAGGTGTCTGATGTACAGGTGTCTGATGTACAGGTGTCTGATGTGCAGGTGTCTGATGTGCAGGTGTCTGATGTACAGGTGTCTAATGTACAGGTGTCTAATGTACAGGTGTCTGATGTGCAGGTGTCTGATGTACAGGTGTCTAATGTACAGGTGTCTAATGTACAGGTGTCTGATGTGCAGGTGTCTAATGTACAGGTGTCTAATGTACAGGTGTCTGATGTACAGGTGTCTAATGTACAGGTGTCTGATGTACAGGTGTCTAATGTACAGGTGTCTAATGTACAGGTGTCTGATGTACAGGTGTCTGATGTACAGGTGTCTGATGTGCAGGTGTCTGATGTGCAGGTGTCTAATGTACAGGTGTCTGATGTACAGGTGTCTGATGTACAGGTGTCTGATGTGCAGGTGTCTGATGTACAGGTGTCTAATGTACAGGTGTCTGATGTACAGGTGTCTGATGTACAGGTGTCTAATGTACAGGTGTCTAATGTGCAGGTGTCTTATGTGCAGGTGTCTAATGTACAGGTGTCTGATGTACAGGTGTCTAATGTACAGGTGTCTAATGTACAGGTGTCTGATGTACAGGTGTCTAATGTACAGGTGTCTAATGTACAGGTGTCTAATGTACAGGTGTCTAATGTGCAGGTGTCTGATGTACAGGTGTCTGATGTACAGGTGTCTAATGTACAGGTGTCTGATGTACAGGTGTCTAATGTACAGGTGTCTAATGTACAGGTGTCTAATGTACAGGTGTCTGATGTACAGGTGTCTGATGTGCAGGTGTCTAATGTACAGGTGTCTAATGTACAGGTGTCTGATGTGCAGGTGTCTGATGTACAGGTGTCTGATGTGCAGGTGTCTAATGTACAGGTGTCTAATGTACAGGTGTCTAATGTACAGGTGTCTGATGTGCAGGTGTCTGATGTACAGGTGTCTGATGTACAGGTGTCTGATGTACAGGTGTCTAATGTATAGGTGTCTGATGTACAGGTGTCTAATGTACAGGTGTCTGATGTGCAGGTGTCTAATGTACAGGTGTCTAATGTACAGGTGTCTGATGTACAGGTGTCTAATGTACAGGTGTCTGATGTGCAGGTGTCTAATGTACAGGTGTCTGATGTGCAGGTGTCTGATGTACAGGTGTCTGATGTACAGGTGTCTGATGTACAGGTGTCTGATGTACAGGTGTCTGATGTACAGGTGTCTGATGTGCAGGTGTCTGATGTACAGGTGTCTGATGTACAGGTGTCTGATGTACAGGTGTCTAATGTACAGGTGTCTGATGTGCAGGTGTCTAATGTACAGGTGTCTGATGTACAGGTGTCTAATGTACAGGTGTCTGATGTGCAGGTGTCTGATGTACAGGTGTCTGATGTGCAGGTGTCTGATGTACAGGTGTCTGATGTACAGGTGTCTAATGTACAGGTGTCTGATGTACAGGTGTCTGATGTACAGGTGTCTAATGTACAGGTGTCTGATGTACAGGTGTCTGATGTACAGGTGTCTGATGTACAGGTGTCTGATGTGCAGGTGTCTGATGTACAGGTGTCTAATGTACAGGTGTCTGATGTGCAGGTGTCTGATGTACAGGTGTCTGATGTACAGGTGTCTGATGTACAGGTGTCTAATGTACAGGTGTCTGATGTACAGGTGTCTAATGTACAGGTGTCTAATGTACAGGTGTCTAATGTGCAGGTGTCTGATGTACAGGTGTCTAATGTACAGGTGTCTGATGTACAGGTGTCTGATGTACAGGTGTCTGATGTACAGGTGTCTGATGTGCAGGTGTCTAATGTGCAGGTGTCTGATGTACAGGTGTCTGATGTACAGGTGTCTGATGTGCAGGTGTCTAATGTACAGGTGTCTGATGTACAGGTGTCTGATGTACAGGTGTCTGATGTGCAGGTGTCTAATGTGCAGGTGTCTGATGTACAGGTGTCTGATGTACAGGTGTCTGATGTACAGGTGTCTAATGTACAGGTGTCTGATGTACAGGTGTCTGATGTGCAGGTGTCTGATGTACAGGTGTCTAATGTACAGGTGTCTGATGTACAGGTGTCTGATGTACAGGTGTCTGATGTGCAGGTGTCTGATGTACAGGTGTCTAATGTACAGGTGTCTGATGTACAGGTGTCTGATGTGCAGGTGTCTGATGTACAGGTGTCTGATGTACAGGTGTCTGATGTGCAGGTGTCTGATGTACAGGTGTCTAATGTACAGGTGTCTAATGTGCAGGTGTCTGATGTGCAGGTGTCTGATGTACAGGTGTCTAATGTACAGGTGTCTGATGTACAGGTGTATGATGTGCAGGTGTCTGATGTACAGGTGTCTGATGTACAGGTGTCTAATGTACAGGTGTCTAATGTACAGGTGTCTAATGTACAGGTGTCTGATGTGCAGGTGTCTGATGTACAGGTGTCTGATGTACAGGTGTCTGATGTACAGGTGTCTAATGTACAGGTGTCTGATGTGCAGGTGTCTGATGTACAGGTGTCTGATGTACAGGTGTCTGATATACAGGTGTCTGATGTACAGGTGTCTGATGTGCAGGTGTCTGATGTACAGGTGTCTAATGTACAGGTGTCTGATGTACAGGTGTCTAATGTACAGGTGTCTGATGTGCAGGTGTCTAATGTACAGGTGTCTAATGTACAGGTGTCTGATGTACAGGTGTCTAATGTACAGGTGTCTGATGTACAGGTGTCTAATGTACAGGTGTCTAAATGTACAGGTGTCTGATGTGCAGGTGTCTGATGTACAGGTGTCTGATGTACAGGTGTCTAATGTACAGGTGTCTGATGTACAGGTGTCTAATGTACAGGTGTCTGATGTGCAGGTGTCTAATGTACAGGTGTCTAATGTTACAGGTGTCTGATGTACAGGTGTCTAATGTACAGGTGTCTGATGTGCAGGTGTCTAATGTACAGGTGTCTGATGTACAGGTGTCTGATGTACAGGTGTCTGATGTGCAGGTGTCTGATGTACAGGTGTCTAATGTACAGTTGTCTGATGTACAGGTGTCTAATGTACAGGTGTCTGATTGTGCAGGTGTCTGATGTACAGGTGTCTGATGTACAGGTGTCTAATGTACAGGTGTCTGATGTACAGGTGTCTAATGTACAGGTGTCTGATGTGCAGGTGTCTAATGTACAGGTGTCTAATGTACAGGTGTCTGATGTACAGGTGTCTAATGTACAGGTGTCTGATGTGCAGGTGTCTAATGTACAGGTGTCTGATGTGCAGGTGTCTGATGTACAGGTGTCTGATGTGCAGGTGTCTGATGTACAGGTGTCTAATGTACAGGTGTCTGATGTGCAGGTGTCTGATGTACAGGTGTCTAATGTACAGGTGTCTAATGTACAGGTGTCTGATGTACAGGTGTCTAATGTACAGGTGTCTGATGTGCAGGTGTCTGATGTACAGGTGTCTAATGTACAGGTGTCTAATGTACAGGTGTCTGATGTGCAGGTGTCTAATGTACAGGTGTCTAATGTACAGGTGTCTGATGTACAGGTGTCTGATGTACAGGTGTCTAATGTACAGGTGTCTAATGTACAGGTGTCTGATGTACAGGTGTCTGATGTACAGGTGTCTGATGTGCAGGTGTCTGATGTGCAGGTGTCTAATGTACAGGTGTCTGATGTACAGGTGTCTAATGTACAGGTGTCTGATGTACAGGTGTCTGATGTACAGGTGTCTAATGTACAGGTGTCTAATGTGCAGGTGTCTTATGTGCAGGTGTCTAATGTACAGGTGTCTGATGTACAGGTGTCTAATGTACAGGTGTCTAATGTACAGGTGTCTGATGTACAGGTGTCTAATGTACAGGTGTCTAATGTACAGGTGTCTAATGTACAGGTGTCTAATGTGCAGGTGTCTGATGTACAGGTGTCTGATGTACAGGTGTCTAATGTACAGGTGTCTGATGTACAGGTGTCTAATGTACAGGTGTCTAATGTACAGGTGTCTGATGTACAGGTGTCTGATGTGCAGGTGTCTAATGTACAGGTGTCTAATGTACAGGTGTCTGATGTGCAGGTGTCTGATGTACAGGTGTCTGATGTACAGGTGTCTGATGTGCAGGTGTCTAATGTACAGGTGTCTAATGTACAGGTGTCTGATGTGCAGGTGTCTGATGTACAGGTGTCTTATGTACAGGTGTCTGATGTACAGGTGTCTAATGTATAGGTGTCTGATGTACAGGTGTCTAATGTACAGGTGTCTGATGTACAGGTGTATGATGTACAGGTGTCTAATGTATAGGTGTCTGATGTACAGGTGTCTAATGTACAGGTGTCTGATGTACAGGTGTCTGATGTACAGGTGTCTAATGTACAGGTGTCTGATGTGCAGGTGTCTGATGTACAGGTGTCTGATGTACAGGTGTCTAATGTGCAGGTGTCTGATGTACAGGTGTCTAATGTACAGGTGTCTAATGTACAGGTGTCTAATGTACAGGTGTCTGATGTGCAGGTGTCTGATGTACAGGTGTCTGATGTGCAGGTGATGTACAGGTGTCTGATGTACAGGTGTCTGATGTACAGGTGTCTGATGTACAGGTGTCTGATGTACAGGTGTCTAATGTACAGGTGTCTGATGTGCAGGTGTCTAATGTACAGGTGTCTGATGTGCAGGTGTCTAATGTACAGGTGTCTGATGTACAGGTGTCTGATGTACAGGTGTCTGATGTACAGGTGTCTGATGTACAGGTGTCTGATGTACAGGTGTCTAATGTACAGGTGTCTGATGTACAGGTGTCTGATGTACAGGTGTCTAATGTACAGGTGTCTAATGTACAGTTCTGATGTCTGATGTACAGGTGTCTGATGTACAGGTGTCTGATGTACAGGTGGTCTGATGTACAGGTGTCTGATGTACAGGTGTCTGATGTACAGGTGTCTGATGTGCAGGTGTCTAATGTACAGGTGTCTGATGTACAGGTGTCTAATGTACAGGTGTCTGATGTGCAGGTGTCTGATGTACAGGTGTCTGATGTACAGGTGTCTGATGTACAGGTGTCTGATGTACAGGTGTCTAATGTACAGGTGTCTGATGTACAGGTGTCTGATGTACAGGTGTCTGATGTACAGGTGTCTGATGTACAGGTGTCTGATGTACAGGTGTCTGATGTGCAGGTGTCTGATGTGCAGGTGTCTGATGTACAGGTGTCTAATGTACAGGTGTACTGATGTGCAGGTGTCTAATGTACAGGTGTCTGATGTACAGGTGTCTGATGTACAGGTGTCTGATGTACAGGTGTCTGATGTACAGGTGTCTGATGTGTGTCTGATGTACAGTTGTCTGATGTACAGGTGTCTGATGTACAGGTGTCTGATGTACAGGTGTCTGATGTACAGGTGTCTGATGTGCAGGTGTCTGATGTACAGGTGTCTAATGTACAGGTGTCTGATGTGCAGGTGTCTGATGTACAGGTGTCTGATGTACAGGTGTCTGATGTACAGGTGTCTGATGTACAGGTGTCTAATGTACAGGTGTCTGATGTACAGGTGTCTAATGTACAGGTGTCTAATGTACAGGTGTCTAATGT